AAAGGTCTTGTTTTTTCTTGGTTTTCGGCTTTAAAAACCTCCCTCTAGTCGCACGCTTTTGACTAGAGTAATCTCTGAACACTTAAAGATAAACTCGAAAAAGGTTGTCAAGTTGAGCAGTAGAGACCGCCCTTTAGTCGCTTGCATGCCACTTGAGTGGTCTAACGACGTCTCAACCAGTCTCTACTCATCTGGTCTCGCTTGATTCCTTTTTTTCATTCTAACAACAATCGCCCTCCCACTGCTTTAGTGATCATCCATGACTTTTGTTTAACTTGGACCTTCAGACTAACCTAATTTTGGACCTATATAAAGGCTAAGCATTCCTATGCAAGGACGTCTCTTTTGTGAGCTAATTTTCAACCTCATAAACCTTAAGAGATCTTAGAACAACCCTAGATCCCTAAGACTAAAGGCCACCAATCTTGATTCTTTTATCCAACCACACACTTTGGAGAAAAAGATCTAGCTTGGAGATCAACCAAACCCCACGTTAGAGAAGTATGAATCCCGAGGATCTTGGTGAAAAATATTGTTCAAAGAGCCTAAATGATCCATTGTGGTTGAGGAATTCAAGTGAAGTTACTCATAAATTTGGAGAAGGACTTCCAAATGAGAGATTTATTGAGGGAAATGAGCATCTAACCATTGTATTGGTTGAGGTATAAGACTTAAATACTTGTAAATCAACTTTGAATAGGCTAGGTGAACCCCAAGTAGTTCCACAGTTTTTTCCGATTGGTTTTCCAGGTTAATAAATTACTTGTGTTCTTTATTGGATAATTTTTGCATATATACTTGCAATTGCACACACGCAGTGTTTGATTGAATGATGATTTATCTTTCCATTCATCAAAAAGGGTTTGTGGTTGATTGGTTTTGGTGGGATTAAAGTTATGGAGGCTTGAAGTAATGGTTAATCTATAGGCATACACTTGCATCCATCACATGATGGGTATGGGTTGTTGTTGAAAAGAGGTTCAAAGGGCTATTTGATACATCAATCTTTGATTGCTACATTAGGTTTAAAATTGTTGATTTTCAAGCCATAAAATTTGAATTAACCTATTCACCCTTCTAGGTTGTGTCTAACGATCCGACGTGTATAGTCGTGAGGGATGATCCATTGTGTATTCTCTCCCCATTTAGTATCAAAGTGTGGTTGCCCTGATGATTACATATAAGCAATGTGTAGACATGTCTTATTTTTTACTTGACCTAGTTAAAGTTTGGTTCATAGATATGGTCGCATCAACTAGTCATAAGATATGTCTCATAGTACACACTACCTTGAGAGCCCAAGTTGAAAATAAATGATATTTTGATAATGAGTGTTATAGGCACATGAATGGAGAGAAATCTCACTTTTGTGTATTAGGAAAGTTTAGTGGTGGGATGGATATATTTGGAGATGGGAGTGTCTCCAACGTTGTTGGAAATGGTTCCATTCAACTGTTGGGCATGCTAAAGTTGGACAATGTCATTTATGTGGAAGGGCTAAAAGCTAACCTGATCAGCATTAGTTAGTTGTGTGATGATAGCAATGCTATGCACTTCACAAGATAAAAATGCACTATATTAAATGATAAAAAGAGTGTCTCTTGGAAGGGGTTAGCTCAATAGATACCTGCTCATGCATATCTTCAGGTCCTTCGTCAGTGTGTCATAGGGTAAGTGTGGACGATGTCACTCTATGGTACCAGAGGTTACGAAACATGAACTACAAAGACCTTAACTAAATTATAAACAAGGAGCTTGTAACGGGAGTACTTAAGTCGGGGAGGTCGACTACCAAGTTGTGTTGGGCCTCCTAACCAGCTTTAAATGGGTTCGCTCGTCGGGCAACCTTTACCCCAAAATTTTAAGCATAGGCCCTACCCACTAGGTAATAAGTTACTTGAGACACTACCACATAGAGGGACCCTAACCATTAACCTAGTGGGTTGTCAGGTAGCCCATTAGGTTTCGAGCTTAATGCTGACCCTTATCTGGGGGTACCAACCATGGGTTAAGTGTTTGGCCTGCAATGTTTATTGGGGTGATAGTTTTTTTCTTGACCAGTATTGGGGTAATAGTTGAGTGGAGATGTTTCTTCCATCTTCTTATATGTTTCTCTCTATCTGATTTGATCGACCAAGAATTGTAAATCAAGGATAGTGCCCCAATATCAAGCAAGCTTGCTCAGACTTGAAATTGTCTATGATGCATGAAACAATTAAACACCCTACATCTTTGTTCTTGAGAAAGCTTTGTGATCTATGATAACACTCTTTTTTTTTTTTTTTTTGGNTTTTTTACTTGACCTAGTTAAAGTTTGGTTCATAGATATGGTCGCATCAACTAGTCATAAGATATGTCTCATAGTACACACTACCTTGAGAGCCCAAGTTGAAAATAAATGATATTTTGATAATGAGTGTTATAGGCACATGAATGGAGAGAAATCTCACTTTTGTGTATTAGGAAAGTTTAGTGGTGGGATGGATATATTTGGAGATGGGAGTGTCTCCAACGTTGTTGGAAATGGTTCCATTCAACTGTTGGGCATGCTAAAGTTGGACAATGTCATTTATGTGGAAGGGCTAAAAGCTAACCTGATCAGCATTAGTTAGTTGTGTGATGATAGCAATGCTATGCACTTCACAAGATAAAAATGCACTATATTAAATGATAAAAAGAGTGTCTCTTGGAAGGGGTTAGCTCAATAGATACCTGCTCATGCATATCTTCAGGTCCTTCGTCAGTGTGTCATAGGGTAAGTGTGGACGATGTCACTCTATGGTACCAGAGGTTACGAAACATGAACTACAAAGACCTTAACTAAATTATAAACAAGGAGCTTGTAACGGGAGTACTTAAGTCGGGGAGGTCGACTACCAAGTTGTGTTGGGCCTCCTAACCAGCTTTAAATGGGTTCGCTCGTCGGGCAACCTTTACCCCAAAATTTTAAGCATAGGCCCTACCCACTAGGTAATAAGTTACTTGAGACACTACCACATAGAGGGACCCTAACCATTAACCTAGTGGGTTGTCAGGTAGCCCATTAGGTTTCGAGCTTAATGCTGACCCTTATCTGGGGGTACCAACCATGGGTTAAGTGTTTGGCCTGCAATGTTTATTGGGGTGATAGTTTTTTTCTTGACCAGTATTGGGGTAATAGTTGAGTGGAGATGTTTCTTCCATCTTCTTATATGTTTCTCTCTATCTGATTTGATCGACCAAGAATTGTAAATCAAGGATAGTGCCCCAATATCAAGCAAGCTTGCTCAGACTTGAAATTGTCTATGATGCATGAAACAATTAAACACCCTACATCTTTGTTCTTGAGAAAGCTTTGTGATCTATGATAACACTCTTTTTTTTTTTTTTTTTGGGAGAGGGAGAGGGGGAAGGGGAAGGGGGACTTGAACCTTTGACCTGAATAAGACAAAATCTTTATAAGATAAGGAGTATCATTGGATCAAAGGTCTATTGATAATCTATTATAACACTTGTCTCCTTAGTTTTTGCACATGATCTTTCTTTTAAAAGTGCACAAACACTTTAAAATTTTAGCATAAGAGGGGACTTGTTTTATGACATTAAGCAACAAAATATTAAACTTAACTTGTTTGAAGAGTTCGTAAACGTAAACATGATAATTCAAACTCTAGCGGTTTTTCCACTTTGGGGAAAGAAAAAAAGAGTTGGACATTGTTTTTTCTCGTTTGCCTTGGGTTCATTCTAATCTTGGGACACAAATGTAGACTCGACCTAGAGAATAGACTCTTTGGGTGCTACGAGTATCTATACTATTTATAAATGTCAATATCTGTGAAAAAATTTTAATTTTCTATTTTATCTCTAATTATTATTATAAAGTTTATTGTATTCATCTATATACTTTCATTTAATATATGTTTTTTTTACATATATTTGACTTTCAACTTATTTTAATTTTTTTTATAAGAATTTTTAAATTCTTTTGAACTCATTTATCAGCAGTACAGTTACATATAATAATCTATATCTATATATATTAAATTATTATACACATGTAATTACCAAGTTGAAAATTTCACAGTCCAATATATGTTATATTTTATTTTTTTGGTATACAATAATATAATAATATCATAAACGATCTAATCAATCTATTTAACAAAATAAAAATTAATAATTATATAATATAATTGGATGTGCAAATGCTTAAAGGGGTAAGAGAGACACCTAAATAAATGCTAAATTAAGTATTCAAAAACTTATAGAATAAATCAATAATTAAATTTAGTAATAATTAAAATATAAATTAATTATTCAACAGCTAATTCATTATTAAATATTAATTATACATATAATTAATATTTTTTATAAAAATGATATGTAATTTTGCTAGTATTTCATAAAGATCAAGTATTAATCTCCACTTAGGTAAGTTATGTAATTTTAGAAAATATCAGACATAGCCGTATTTTTGGTATAAATTAGGGTGTCAATATAATAGTATGCCAAATACCAGTAATAATAATAATAATAATTACACATGCCTCACTTAAGTCATGAACTAATGGCAACTATGGCCCCAATTATTTATCCCACACTTTTGGAATTTGTATTACACGCACTCTAAAGGGGCGTAAAGCAGCCATTCATTCAATAACTCCGCCTTTTCCGCGGACCTGCACGTGTCAACAATAAAAGCGACCTGATTGCTACCACGTGTCGTAATTCTATAGGTTGAAATCACATTCCCAACATTCAATCCTGACCGTCCATTCCATCTCAGACAGACATATGGCAACTGACCATTCTAACGTGGAAGACCCGTCTTTATAGAGAGAGACTTTGGAGAGAGAAGACTAGGTAGCTCCACAGGTGTGTATATATTTTGTATCTATATGTTGGTCTAAATTCCCCGTATATATTTACGTATTTATCAGCTGATAATTTATTAATTGTAACTGTTTATTTTCACTCTGTTCTTGATTGTTGTGTGTTCGTGGATTTACGTGATTTATTTACTGTATAGTTGATCATTCAACTGTATAACTTGTTCAAGCTTGATGATTTAGGGTTTATATTTGCTTTAAATTCTGATATGGTGATGAATTATGGAAGTTCTTGAATTGTTTTCTGTGTTTCTGTTCTGTGATTTTTGATTGGTGGTTAGCTTGTGTTCTTGAGGATTCTATCACTTGGGTTGACTTCATTTTCTGAGCGATTTCTTGAATCAGTATGTTCTAAGATTCATAGACTGTTTGAATGGTCGTTTTTGTTTCGACTTATTTGTTGTGTGACACTTCTCTTTGATTTATTTGTTTGAAGGGGTTCTGTTTCTCACTGATGTTCTCAAAGCAAGATTGTGGTATATATCACCACTATAGATCAAATGCCATCTGTCAAAATGAAGACCAAGTCATCTGCGGGCTGTTTTGTGGAACAAAACGGTCTTCATGTATGTCAAAAGTCAAGTATGATATCGAAGAATTTGCTCTCTCGTGTCAAGATTTCTCAACAGGCAGCAGAACTTGAGACTTGTATTCCTAGTAGTCAGGACGGTGAGTGATGGTACTGAGTAATCACACTTGGCAAATGGTATAGAAAAGACATTACTTTATCGGTATCAACAAGGATAGCATAATTTATGGGTTGGATTATTCCTTATTATCATCTGTTGCCTATGGTCAAGGTTGTCAATTAGTGTGAGATATCACAGATCAGTGTTAGGGTTTTGTGCAGCATATGTATCATAGGGGTGTATATAGATAAGACATACATTTTATTTTATCAAACAATTAGAAGGATTTACATGGAATAATACAATAGTGACTGATTAAAATTTGTAAGAAGCAATTCGATCTCCATTTTATCCATGTTTGAAAAACAGTTTAGGTAAAATGATTTAGTTGAATGTGACATGGCATAGCATTATATCATGATTTATAGGCGCATTTTAGGATCACATTACATTATGAAACCTTTGACATTTTTCTTTCGAACAAAGTCATTGTGGTGATACTATTGGAGTAAAACTGACACTTGGAATTATGTTGTCTACAACTGATTGGTGTATGTTGACTTAATAGTTTGCAATCACAAAACAAGCACTTCCATTCAATAAGCAATACTTGATGTTTGTTCAAAGTTTCTCAAGAATTGTACTTTTTATGAAGTGAAAAATTACTTCAATAAGCTTTGTTCTTTTTCTTTTTGATGTGGTAGAATCAGGGAGTTAACGATTTTATTTTTGATGCCCACCTAAAATAAAGCTATATGAGGGGTAATAAACTGTAAAATTTTAAAAACCTGAAAGAGGTCGATGTATATTTAGTCCTAGACTGCCTATAGACAAGTACCAATCATATTATTCTTCATTTCTTGAAATAAAGATGCTTTATTATTCAATTTTTCTGAAATGACAAAAAAATTTAAGGTGATTATATCATAAGTGTGAAATATGTACTTAATTGACCATCATAAGATATTGTCCCACAGCAATAGGCAGTGCTGGGCCTCT